TAAACCTACAGATATTGATGATGTCAGGAAGCACAAACCAGGTTACCTTGAGGCTACGGTTGACTGGTTCAGATTATATAAAGTGCCTGATGGTAAACCGGAAAATCAGTTTGCTTTTAATGGAGAATTTAAAGACAAGGTGAAGATAATCCAAAATTAAAGATGCATACTTCTGTCATGTGGCCTCTTTAATGCATCCTAGAATTTTTGGAATTGCAAAGGAGGAGGTTTAACAAAAAGAAATTTTATACGAGGAATCTTCTGAATACAATTTATTAGACTAGGAATAAATAATGTTTGCCATCTTCCATTTTATTCAGGGAAAATGCATAGGTTATTAAAGGAAGCCTGCAAAAACACATTCAGTCCTAATCCTGACAAGACTTACACACACACTTGTGTGTTTGTAGGTCTTTTTCACAGCATTTTCATTCTCCCGGTCAGAAGAATAAACAGATTGTCTTTTCAGGTATTTTTCAGTCCTGATTGATAAGTTTTCCTGACTTTTTTTTTTTAAGGCTATGCAGTTAAAGACAGCAGGTTGCAGATTTTTTCATATTTGGTATTTGCTCAAGTTATACTTTTTTCCTGGTAATTCTGTGTAAAAACATTTAAACTGTTTTTGGCTTGAAGGCTGAAAAAATATTTTTTCCTTTTTTAGAAAAAATGAATGGCGTTTTAAACTATCTGCAGTAAAAACGACCAGTGTTTGAAAGGAGGGTGGACCTGGGAATAGACCTCGCTGAAGAAAATACCTGGATTTTTTCAGAGGGAATTTGGTGTGATTTGAGTAAAAGTGCTTTGCAAATAGTGTATTGCACACTCTCTGTAAACTATTTTTGGCAAAGAATTGCAGGTTCCTAGTGAGTGATGTCCATGTGTCAGCTAGTTCAGCCTTGCAGTGTGCTACCAAAGTTTATAAAATGCCTTCTGTCCAGCACAGTCAACTTTACATGTTTTGTCTGGTTGAAGAGATGCCCTGACTCCCCTCTGCAGTAAAACTTGTCTTCTAAATCAATGGAATGTAGAGTTGTAAGGCTTGATGACCTGATCTCTCCCCTGTTCTCCCAGGAGCTGCTCTTAGAGATTTTCCTGCTCTGTAAAGCAGAGTGATGTTCTGTAGCAATGGTGTATCCCTGTCAGGCCATTGGAGTTCAGACTTGAGGCACTAAATGCCCCGAGATAGCTAGTTTGGAGCACTTGAATAATTCTCAGGCATTTCTAGAGACCCAGGATGTGGCGAGGCGGCCGTGGCTGAGCTCCAGCAGCTCTGGTGAGGTTCACAATGTTCCAGTGGCATTTTGCCAAGTCACTCCTTCTTAGGAAATGTGAATATACTGTTGGCAGCTTTTTGCAAGCCAGTCTAGATATCATCATCTGGACACTGAGGCCTTATTTTACTTTATTTTTTTGAAGCTTTTTTATCCGCACCCCACCCCCAATATTACTTTTGTTTTAAACAAACAAAAACTGTTAAGCGGCTGATGTGTTACGTTGTTGCAAATGCTAAAGTACATGATTGGGCAATTAATGAAGTAAATGCGAATTTTACCACTAGAGGGGAAACCATAACTCTGACCGTGATGTGCATGGCTAGCAGAGGAGTTGTGTCTCACACACTTTGTCCCATTTAGGATGCGGTGTGGTTTTCTACAGCTGTAGATGTCTGCTTAGCATCCAGTGCTGATTTTATTTTTTTCGTGCAGCCTTCGTGTTTTCTGGCTGTGGACTGAGGGAAAGTCCTGAATGTGTTGCCAGTGTATTTGACAGATAGTGAAGTTTGTTTCTTTTCATAAAAAGGGTGTTATATTTTCCAGAAACTTAATGAGGCCTCGAAGGAGACCCCTTAAAATAACACATGAAACAGTATGTTTTAATAGACTAGTTCTGTGGCTTTTTTTCCTGTTTAATAACATTTTAATTCATAAAACTTTTCCTTGATGTAAACTAGGATTTTGCTGTTGAAATTATTAAGTCCACCCATGAATACTGGAAAGCTTTGCTTCATAAAAAAGCTGATGGAGGTACTATTAAGTGGTAAGTATCCAGTCACATATTTTCCTCTTTGTATTGTGCTAGTACTGGTGGTATTCAACACGTGTCAGCAGTGCATGAACTGCTTAGATTTTTTACTTTGAGATGACAGGAATACTCATGGTTTTGATTGATAATTAATTGATAATAGTCTATGATTGACTAATTGCACCTTGTATGACAACGATTTACTGGTAAGTGGTTCCAAAAATATATCAGTTTTATAAAAGTGACACAGAACTTTGACTTTCAAGAAATGGCCCCAGAGTGTTAGTTCAGGATCATTTTAGGAGAATCTCGATCTCCGGTGGAAATCCTCTTGCCACTGTTTATTCCATCCTTTAGTGCTGCTTTGCTGTGTTGCAAAATTCTTTTGCAGCTTAGCATTCCATATTTTTCAGTTATTCTCTGGAATGAGAGAACCAAATTATTGTTCTTTACTAACCTGTGGCCTGATCTAAATGAAAATGGAGTTTATTTAAAGTTCTCTGGACTGGTTTGCATTGGCAGTTCTGGCACCAGAGGCCTTGAAGAGCAGGCAGCTATCTTTGCCTGGTGCTTTCCAAGGGCTGTAGATTGCCATTAGCTAAACCAGAGGGCAAAGGCTGTGGGGGAAGCTGTGCTCGGATAGTTACTGTCATCTTCTGCTTTATTGGGAAAATTTGACTTTCTCTGTCTGTCTTGGAGCTGATTGAACATGTTAGCGGTTGGACAGGTTGGTAGTTCTACTTCAGTATGGCAAGAATACTGTAGGATAATACTCAGATTTTGGTCTTGATCATTTCAGAGGCACTTTGAGCTTAGTGTTGATGAAATTAAAAAAAAAAAAGTTGCAGTCTTGCTTTGAGGAATTTAATTTGTTGCCGTTTAGTGCGTAGGACCTTAAAAACTCATGACGGAACTCACTTCTGGTGTGAAAGGATATATTCACAGGGAAATATTTCTTTAAAGTCTTTGGTCACAGAGTTTGTCTGCTTTCTGGAAGCAGTACAGGTATCTGTTGCTGTATGTAACAGTAGAATTTTGACCTGTTTTTCCCTCCTCCTTGTTCGGTACTGCAGGCAGGTTACTGCAAACCAACAGTGGCCTGCCACAGAATCTGGCCATCCTTCAAGGCACAAGAGCTGGGGATATTCACATCATCTGTGCTAGCCATCTAGGTGTTCTTCAGCTCCCTCAGGAAGAGCTAGTTTCTATCTGCTGACTTTTTTGAGGGATTTAGTTCGTTAACTGTGGTCCTCTGAACTGTACACAAGTTATCTGCCAGAAGCACTGAGTGTGAGTGCTGCTTCCATTAATATAGAACGTATAGCCTAAAAACCCCCCTCAAACCCAAAGAAACAAAGAACACCCATCTGCACTTCTGTTCCCTTCCAGCATCACTGATTACTTTGTGGTTTTGACGTCCTCATTTGTTGCAGATACACATTTCTGATCTCTCTATGTGAAGGTGGTGTTTTCCGTGGGTGCTTAATTGTGTTCTCTTTTCCACTGATTGATAAAACATGTTTTTAATTTTATTTTTCAGCACGAATGTTCTCGTGAGTGGCAGCCCATTTTGTTGCAGTGAGGAGGATGCCCGGTCGATTGTGCAGTCGGTAAGGAGAATATTTGCTTTTTTTCCACCCTTTTTTTTTTTTTTTTTAAGTGGTCAATGGGAAAAGACGATTCAGAGCTCCGAAACTGAAATAAAGTGGCTGAACTGAAATGGCCCTTAAACAAAAATTTAAGGCATGAAGTAGAAGGAAGAGCACAAAGTTTGTTGGGGAAATGTAAGCATTATAATATAAACCTTTCATTGCAGTGGTCCAAGAGTGCTTTTTGGCAGGTTCGTTACTGTTCTGGTGGGTTTTTTGGTTTTATTTTGTTTTTTCTCCCTCTGCAGTGCTGTTTCTTCTGATCCTGAATAGCAAGATGGTCTGCTATTTGTATCCAGCCTGCTGTCTTCTCTGTCTCCCCTGTTGCTATGAGTTACCACCCAGTGTTAGAACTCATTGACTAGCTGACTGCAGTCCCTAATCGCTAAAGGGATCCTTTGTCTACTTTCATAATTAAATGCGTTGCTGTAAAAGAGGGGGATGCTTTTTTATGAATGTTTCTTAAAGAATGCCTGTCATATTCTGAAAATTAACATAAAATTAAAACATGCAGGTTTTCTGTTCAGGCAAGAAGAATGTCCTGCAGGTCTGATGCTTTCATGTGCAAATGCTACTGGAGGAGAATTTCTTCCACTTTAAAATATACTAATTTGGATGCCAGAAATTAAGCAAAGTTACCAGAAATTACATGAAGAAAAGTACGCCCAAGTATTACTTTTTTTTTTTTTTATAACATATGCCATGATTGAGCCTGTGCTTATGACCATGTGAGCATGGGCAGCCAGTGTTTTGCCCCAGTAGTCTCAGTAGTTACGCAAGTTCAGGTGTCACAAGTTCAGGTGTCGAAGGAGACATGATGCACTGTCTGTGCGGTTAACATTCCAACAGCATTTCTAGTGAGAATGTGTTGTCCTGGGTGGTGTTTTGTCACTAGGAGATAAGACTGTCAGTTACAAACTAAAATTGGTTTAAGTTATAAAGAGGTGTCAAACTGAACTGTTTTCCCTATTCAGGCCTTTTGCTTTCGGCACTTCTAAAGAAAGTGCCTTTATGGTTGTACTTGTGAATGTTTATTAATGGCCTATGAGTTTTAAATGAAAGAAAAACTCATTCTGGAGTTCAAATATGTTTTTAGACATGTCAGTCACAGCTATAAGCAAATATTTACCGCCTCTATACTTTCAAATTTGCAATAACTTTTAGCGAGAGTGTAAATGCAATTAAAATTTCAAGTTCAAACATACATGCATGGTGACAAACCTGCAAAGGAATATTTCCTGTTGTGTTCTGTGCTGTTTGTACTTGGAAGCATATAGGGTAAATAATTACCTGTTTAAATCAGCAGTATCTGTTATTTTGTCTCTCAATAACAAATTTTTCCTGGTTTTTGGGAGGGAGGTGAGTAAAACCAGTTCATAAAATAGGTAATGTATCAAACTTCAATGTCTTTTTTTATTATGAGCGTTGTCACCTTATCAAATATTATCACTTCCTGGCTTTTTTATGCCTCACATGATTTTCTTTAAGTGATACTGGTTTTGTGAAGTTGTCACTGCATACTCCTTTCCATCATTTTGTTTCAGTTCAGTCGAAGTATTTTAATTGTGTCTTTGGAGAGTACTGTCTCTTGGTACTTTTCAGACAGGGAAAAAGATACAGTACTCTTATACTGTTCATACTGCATGCAATTTTCAATCTATGATAACTAAAAAAAGTAAAATGCTTTTGGAATATGAATGGTGGACACTCAAACTCTAAATATAAGCAGAGAGGTTGACTTGCACATTTTAAGCAGGTATCTTTTTGTCTAGTACATTACACTGCCCACTTTAGTTGTCAGGCATTCATCTCTTTCAAACTGAAGTGAAAGTACATGAGTGTTGGCTGCAGAATTTTAATGGCTGTGGTAATTTTAAATGAAAGCTGCCTGTGTTTGTCTCTTTGGGAATTTTTTGGTTTGTGTTTTTTGTGTTTTTTTTGTTGTTGTTTTTTTTTAAACTAAAAGCAGATACATTTTCTTCTAATTTATGTCCATGTAGTGACTTCTGCGTAAGAACAGAAGAATGAAAGCTGAGGTAGAGATTTTACATGAAAGTACAAACATATTTCAGCTTCTGCAGAATTTGTGAGCTACTTGTGCAGTGAGAGCTGGTTCCCTACAATTCTGTTTCCTGGGTCAGACTCCAATTATGGAATTTTTGAGTGGGTGATAATTACCTTAGATCAGGTATATTGAGTTCTCAAAAAAACCCCAAACAAAACCCCAAAAGGCAACACTCAATATTGTTATGAACCGATTTTTATGGTGAGGAAGAGAACTATAACTAAGAATCAAATGGAAACTAAGCAAATCTTTACCAAATGTGTACTGTATTATGCATTAATCAGAATTTCATGTAGATTTTGATGGGGTAGTTCCCAAGATAGTCCTGTTGATTTCAGTAGGATTTACTGTGCTATTGTTCAACCTTTCATTATTTTACAGATGCAGGACTAGAATGGCTTGTCTGTGTTGGGGAATTTCCATTCCACTGAGTTAGTTTCTAGGTGGTGGGCATGTGTACTGTCATTTGTATTGGTGGCAAACTAGGAATGATTCTACAGCAGGTGAAGTTGCCATGTCCAGTCAATCCCAAAGAGACAGAAGATAATCTGTGCATATGGGAGTGCATACTGAACATTTGAACCAGCCAAAATTACAGCAGCCCCCTGCAACTACAAACTCAGTTGAGTTTTAACACTAGGTGGTAAAAATTTCTAGTGTTCTCTAGCCTCTGAAAATTGTTTCATCTCTTTCTCAGCTCCAGTGTTAGTATATGTTGAAAATTAAACTAAGGAGGAATAGAGCTTTGCAGCTGAGTGTGTTAGTGCTAAGATGTACTGTTTATTTCATGCTTTTAAGTGTTGCAATCTGTAAAACTAACCAGGACAGCCAAAACCTTTGTTTAACATTAATCCTGAGAAATGCTTGCTCACTTGCTCTGTGAAGAAGCTGCTGAGGACTTTGCAAGTTGGAAAATCTCCAAGACAATCTATATATAGTTAGCACAGCACTGTTTCTCAGACTTTTCACATAGTTCTTCCCTTATAATACTGGAAAGTGAAGTAGGAAAGCTTTGCTGGATGAGGTCTCTTTTGATAAAACGCAGAACAATTTCTTACAGGGGAAAATAGTTGGCTTTTCCTGACAACTTAAAAAATCTCAAACAAAATTTGAATCTGTATACTTACTAATGTCTTTTAAATAATTCAGATCTGAGCAGAAAAGTCTGTTAACTGCCTTTCTCCCTACATGTTTTCTGTGAGGACATTTTCATTTGGGACTTAGTAGAAGCAGAATTTTCTGTTCAGCGGCTGGTTGTGAAAGAAAAGATTGGTGGGGGGTTTCCTCCTTTTTTTGTTTGTTTGGTTTGTTTGTTTGTTTTGGGGGGGTGTTTGGTTTTTTTTTTTTTCTCCAATTATTCTACTTGTTTGTTTGTTTGTTTGTTTTTAAATGGTGTTCCAAATGGAAGGGTCGTATAGTGAAGAGATTCCTGGTTCAGTGCAATGAGTTTTTGATCTCTTCCTGGTGGGAAGGTGCTGAGTCCTTATCTCAGACTTTCTGAGCAATTATCCCAGAAGTGGTAGGCACCTGCACATACGTGGTGACCACTGGTTCTCCCTGCCTTAGGAGATAAAACGTTGGTTTTACTGGAAAGAGAGGGGATAGTCTGGTATTAAGTCCTGGAAGATGCTTTCCATAGAGTGTAAGAGCTCCCGATCCTCAGGTGTAAGAAATCAGGAAAGGATGGCAGGAGACTGGCATGGCTGAGTCAAGACCTGGTGGTCAAACTGAAGGGCAAGAAGGAAATGCACAGAAACTGGAAGCAGGGACGGGTATCCTGGGAAGAGTATAAGGATGCTGCTTGGTTGTGTAGGGATGGGTTCAGGAAGGCCAAGGTGCGGCTGGAGCTGAACTTGGCAAGGGATGCAAAGAATAATAAGAAGAGCTTCTACAGGTATGTCAGCCAGAAAAGGAAGGATAAAGAAAGTGTACCCACTCCGATGAACATGACTGGCAAACTGTTAACAACGGCTGAGGAGAGGGCTGAGGTATTCAACTTTTTTGCCTCAGTCTGTCAACCTCTCTTCCCACACCTCTCGAGTGGATGGGCTGCAAGATGGGGACTGGGGAAGCAAAGTCCCTCCCACTGTAATAGAAAATCAGGTTCGTGACCGCCTGAGAATCCTGAACATACATGAGTCTATGGGACCTGACGAGATGCATCCCAGAGTCCTGAGGGAACTGGCTGGTGCAGTTGCCAGGCCACTCTCCATGATATTTGAGAAGTCACGGCAGGCAGGTGAAGTCCTGAGCGACTGGAAAAAGGGAAACATTGCACCCTTTTAAAAAGGGTAGAAAGGAGGATGCTGGGAACTACCAACCTGTCAGCCTCACCTCTGTGCCTGGGAAGATCATGGAGAAGCTCTGCTAGGGCACATGGGGGACAGGGCGGTGATTCGAGACAGCCAGCATGGCTTCACCAGGGGCAAGTCCTTCCTGACCAACCTAGTGGCCTTCTATGATGGAGTGACGACATCAGTGGACAAGGGAAGAGCTACAGATGTCATCTATCTGGACTTGTGTAAGGCCTTTGACACGGTCCCCCACAACGTCCTTCTCTCTAAATTGGAGAGATATGGATTTGATGGGTGGACTGTTCAGTGGGTGAGGAATTGGTTGGATGCTGTCACACCCAGAGAGCAGTGGTCAATGGCTCAATGTCCAGATGGAAATCGGTCATGAGTGGTGTCCTTCAGGGGTCCATACTGGGACCAGTACTGTTTAATATCTTTATCAGTGACATAGGCCGTGCGATCGAGTGCACTCTCAGCAAGTTTGCAGATGACACCAGGCTGAGTGGTGCAGGTGACACACCTGAGGAACAGAATGCCATCCAGAGGGACCTGGACAAGCTGGAGAGGTGGGCCCAGGTGAACCTCATGAGGTTCAACAAGGCCAAGTGCAAGGTCCTGCACCTGGGTCAGGGCAATCCCCAGTATCAATACAGGCTGCGGGATGAGTGGATTGAGAGCAGCCCTGCAGAGAAGGACTTGGGGGTGCTGGTGGGTGAAAAACTGGACGTGAGCCAGCAGCGTATGCTCGCAGCCCAGAAAGCCAATCGCATCCTGGGCTGCATCAAAAGAAGTGTGGCCAGCAGGTCGAGGAGGTGATTCTTCCTCTCTGCTCCACTCTGGTGAGACCCCACAGGGAGTACTGTGTCCAGCTCTGGGCCTGTTGGTGTGGGTCCAGAGGAGGGCCACAAAAGCAATCAGAGGGATGGAACACCTCTCTTATGAGGACGGGCTGAGAGAGCTGGAATTGTTTAGCCTGGAGAAGAGAAGGCTCAAGGGAGACCTTACAGCAGCCTTCCAGTACTTAGAAGGGGCTTATGAGAAAGATGGGGGCAACCTTTTTAGCAGGGCCTGTTGCGATAGGACAAGGCGTAATGGTTTTAAACTAAAAGAGGGCAGATTCAGACTAGATGCAAGGAAGAATTTTTTTACGATGAGGGTGGTGAAACACTGGAGCAGGCTGCCCAGAGAGGTGGTAGGTGTCCCATCCGTGGAAACATTCAAGGAGAGGCTGGATGGGGCTCTGAGCAACCTGATCTAGTTGGAGGATGTCCCTGCTCACTGTAGGGGTGTTGGACTAGATGACCTTTAAAGGTCCTTTCCAACCCAAACTATTCTGTGATTCTAAGACCTGGATTACATTTGTCATTCTGGCACGTCCTTTCAGGCCAGTCATATAACCCCCTGGTGCAGGTAATTATCCTGGGCAAAGTGGGAAAAAGAATACTGTTTTTCCCTTCCCTCCTCACAGGCTTTGACCTGCTCTTCAGTGGATTGAGCTCTGTGCTTGCTCGGAGGCAGGCAGGCTCACAAGGGTATTTCACACCAACACGTCTCAGTCTGAGTGCTGCACTGTGCTAAGCCTGGCTGTGCAGCTTCTGGGTCAGTTTGCCTGCCTGCAGGATACTGCAAAGTTTTCCTTAGCATCCGCATGTGCTGTTAAGTAGTAGCAGGAAGTTCCACCTGTTGGTGTGGAAGACATGGGTGGTCACTGTGCAGTTTTGTTCTCCTGAAGCTTCAAACAGCTGTAAACTCTGCCTTTGAGGTGGTTTCTTTTTTTGCATGGTTCACCTAAGTGGTTGCTCCTGGGGTTATCCGCTTGGTAAGCGTAGCTGGGGTGGGCTTGTGTCATGGCAAAGGCTGACATCCACGTGGTTTTTGCACTTCATTTCTGTGTGCGAGTGAGCGTGGCACGATTCCTTGTGCTGAGAGGCTCTCTGCTGCTTTCCAATGAGTTACGTGAGTTGGAAAACTTGTCTGTAAGGAGCTGATGGAAGGGCAGTGGAGGATTGTTGCTATGCGAGTAACTAGCATCCTCGTTGTGAGGCAGGTTACTTCCAGCTAGTGTTAAAACTGGCTTTAATTTTGTCCTTTAAGTAATAGGACAAAACATACTGTAATACTGTGATTGAAAAGTGATGTATCCAGCTTTGAAGTGGACTTACAGGCCTGCATTTTAACACTATTGGTCACTTTCCACAGAACTGAATCCTACGCTATCAAAATGTGGTTGTGAAAGGGTTTAATTACACATTTACTTAAAAATGATTGCATATATGTAGTTTAAATTGTGTGTGTATGTATATATTCACATGTGTATCTTTATTCTGAAATATGTATAGTAATGTAATTGGAAAGGCATTTTTACTCCTTAGTATGTGAACAGTAAATCATGTTGTCCTCAAAGACAATACAGTAGGAAAATCTCCTTTACATTAGGTAAGATGTTAATCTATCACTCATTATTAGTGTGTTCGTTTTGTCATTTATGAGCAACCAGGAAATTTGTACAGTAGTTACAGGGGCGGGGAAAAATAGGGAAAGTCTATAAGGTAGAGCATTGTCCTGTGGGGGCAACGGAAAGTTCTGTTTTTATTAATGTATCTTGACTTCTGCAGTAAAATAGCTTTGCGTTTGGGTGCTGCCTGTGAAACTTTAACTAAACACTGATATGTTGGTTCGTTTTTTGAGTTTGGTGGTTTTTTTTTTTTTTTAGGCACCAGTGCCAGTGAATGGAGATTCTGTTTCCCTGGAAGGTATGTTCTTCCCCAAATGCCATGCAGTTTCTTTAATTGTTTGCTTTAAAAATTGACATCATAACTGTTGTGTTGAAAAAAAGGTGATTTTGTGCACATGAGAATGATAATAGTTATATTCTGTCAGACTGTCATGCCTGTCCCCTGTTAAATAGCACGTGAGCAGAAATTAATGGATGGTTTGTGGGAGAAGATTATTTTTGAGAATGAGTGAAAGTGTAGTCCACATAAAAAGATAAGACCAAATTTTTCTGTCTCTGATCATGGAAGGTAAATGCATGATATTTATCCTTTCTAAAGGAGAAAGGTTGATTTGCCTTAGTCTTCGTCGTTCTTCACAGGAGCTGACTAATGAAATAAACAGCCCCTTTTAAGTGACATAACCGTACTTAATTTTCAAGTGTAAGTTTTGAAGAAAAAAATTCTCCCTTTCACTGTTATGACTGGTTTTTACGTTGACAGAACATGTGGTTTTCATCAAGAAATAAGAATGCATCCTACGTTTTCATTTTTGTTAACTACTTTAAAAAAAAGAGATTTTTCTACTGGCAGGAGTTATAGAGAAGACATACGTGCTTTTTGAGATGGAGGGAGTTACAGAAACACTAAGAGAAACTTAGTCATGAGTCGAGTTCCAGATTGTTTGCAGAGTAACATCTGTGTAGTCCATGTCATGGGAAAGCAAGCTGCATTCATTTGCCCTTATATGGCATGCCAATAAATAGCATTTATTTACTGAAGTATTACGTCTCAGACCCCTGACAGACAACTGAACATAATCTGCCTGATTTGTGATGTTTTCCAGGGATGGCCACGTCAGTGGTGTAACTCGTTGCAGGATTGTTTCAGCCAAACTGTTAAAGCGAACAAATACTATTTTGAGGCCGCGCTGTCCATAGGCTGGGGATAGAGCTCACCTGGAAGTGCTGTTATGGGAGGGGAGATAGCTGAAAGGGCAGAACATTGCTTTTTGAAGTGTTTGTGTCTGGCTAGTTGTGTAGAACTAATGTAATTCTTTATGTGTATTTTTTGTTTTAGTTGATTCCTGGCACTTTTTTCCCAAGTGATGGTCAAAGTGTTCTGAACCTGCATCATCAAATCTTAGAGTCATCCCTTTTCTGAAGACAGGCAAAAGCACTCGTTGTTGGGCTCCTGTTGAATCATCTTTTCAACTCGTGTAAACCTTCTCTCATGTAAATAAACACTGATGTTATAAAATGAATGTTTCCTTTCTATGTATCTTTGTGGAGGGTGGAGCAGAGTGAAGAGGAGAACTTTCTTGCTTGTTTGTTTCTGAATCTCAGAACTCCGGAATTGCTCTTACCCACTCATGAGGTGTACTATCAAATGAGTTGGGAAATAAGGTGTCTTCAACCTTGTTCTCCAGATTTTGGAGTAATCCAGCTATCAGGTGCACGGAACACTCTGTTAATTTGTATCTTAGCTTGTCTGGCCACCCTGACAGTGATCCTTTTCAAGTAGAAAATCATCTTTGTGTAATAGGCTTAGTAGTGTACCATGTTCTTAATAGGTGACTGTGTGCTGTTTCCTGGCTCGTTTCACTTTTGTGCCCAGTTGTCTTTAGTTGCTTTGTAGGGTTACAAACAGATCATACTTGCTTTAAAAAAACAAATGCAGTTTCACTCCAAAGAGTAATTCAACTAGGAAGGGCTAATGCCATAACAATTGAAGCAAGGATGCACGTGTGCTCTCTGTACTACATCCTGTTTTGATAACTTGTCTGTTTTGTCACACAGGAAGGACTTTCCTTATGGAAAGCTTCCATTTTTGGAATTGTGTATGCCTGAAGGCTTTTGATAGTTCCTCATTCAGTGAGACAAGATTAATAAAATAGAGCTGAGCTTTATGTTTTCCTGGTAGAAATATCTGCCATTTTTTCTACTGCAGGATTATATCTGGCCTGTCTGTACCCATGGCATTCATTAAAAACAAAAAAGGCAGCTGTTAAGTAGAAAAAGAGGAAATGATAATGTAGACAGACAGCTTTATCCATCTGGTTACTGAGACCAAAGATGAGCGTTGTCTGCTTTGTATGATGACTGAAACAAAAGGTTAGTATTGCTGACACACGGTGGAAATGGAAGAACGAACTGAAAAAGTTCTGTGGCTTGCCATGGAGGACTAACCGTTCCTTACAAAGAATAAGTTATTAGTACAAAAGCTTTTGCCTTTGGGAATGTTTCTTTAATTCTAGGAGATGATTTTAGAGACTTTCCTCTAGAATACTGTCAAGTGTATAAGCACAAGTCACTTCGGAGATCTCAGTTTGGGCCTCAGCACTTAGGAGCAGATAGAGTTCTCCCATCTGCATAGTTTTGCATTGTTTTATACACAGAGTTTAGGTGTGGTATGAAAAATACAACATAAACCTCAGAAATTAAGGACTTTTTTTTTTTAAGTCAAGAGATACGTTACATCCAACATAGATTTACAGTACTGTTTTCCCATACTTTATTTGATACTTTAGAATTATAAGTATGTGCAACATGATACCTACAGATATAATGGATTTATTTTTTTTTTAAATAGAGTAAATGTTTCCCTAGTGTCCTGGGTTCATGTGCAGCCCTTCAGTATGAAATTACTCTGGTTAGAGGTGAGCACTTACAGGGTGCAGAACAGCTGCTGTATTTGCCCGTATGGTGGTACATCTAGTAGGCTTACTGTTTTGTAAAGTGCTTAGGGTCGGCTGGACAATGAACGACACCGTGTAAAATCAAATTATCTTCCCTATTCAGTGGTCAGTGCTGTCTTTTTTTTTTTGAGACAGAATGAAGAGCTGTATGGATATGAAAAACAAGTATCAATTGCAAACATACCCACGTGGAACTATCAAGAGTAGGTCAGAAATTACTTCATTTTTACTTCACATATTTTTAGAAGTGTTTTTTAATTTAGAAGTGTATTGATGGCACGTGGTTAGGAATTCAGAAGGAGAAATAAATTTCTAGATCGGCTTAGACTTTGTTCAAGAAAATGATTAGTACATGGGAAAGCTGAAAATTGAAGTGATTGGAAGTGCTTAATACCATCATAAATTTGAAAATGTTAACATATTTCTTACATCTGTATATAAACAGATGATTGCCTTGTCTTCAGACCACTTTGAACTTGTGTTTATGTATGTATTTTAAAGATTTTTCCCAAGTGGGATAAAAAGATGTACTGTTACGTGTGGCCTTGCTGCTAAAATGTACTGAAAGCTACTGACGTGTGGATTTCGGAAATGAAGCATAATGAAATAGCTGTGGAGAGAATGTCTGCTAGTAAGAGGATCAGGGGGATGGGGCAGAGAAACTAGAATGTATTTTTTAGATCTCCTCAGGAAAAACAAGTCTGTGCAATAAACACATTTTTAATTTTATTTTGGCTTTTTTCTCAGGGTAGGTCTTCTGTTTGTGTTTATATGCCTATATTGTTGTATTTAAAACTGGTTTCATTGGAGTGGGAAGCTTAGGGTAGCAGTGTCTGCTTCTCAGTAGTTCTACAGAAAGAACTTTTACATATTTGATACTAGTATTTCCTGGCAAGATTTCTTGAAGAGAAAGAAATATTTTTTATTTTATTCTATTTCCCAGGAAATAAACCCATCTTAACTGTATTTTCTATGTTGAATATATAATACACATATGTATATATTACCTTCCAGGATAACTTTGCATCTCAGTTTCCTCTTTTTGTCTGTTTTGGAGAGAAAGGAGAGGTTACTTCCCGCACCTCCCCCTACCCACCATTGTGGCGGTGAAGATTCTTTTTTACATATGTGAATCGTTAGCTGCTCCTCTAAACAGTACCTTTTGCTGACATGGAGTCCGCGCGTCAGTCCCCTCAGCTGAGTATGGGGTCTGAGTTTTACTTCAGTGGAAATAAGAGTCATTATTCTTTAAAGCGTGAAGATAAAAGGATTGTGAAAATTGTGTGCTATTGTCGCTGTTAGGATGTTATTTTCATGCAGTTAGTAACAACGGACATCCTCTGATAACCCCCAAAAGCACAGAAAATTATTCTCAAGTGTGTTTGGGAGAGCTGTTCATAGATGTTACGCAAGGAGCGTGCCTTACCGTAAGTTGCTTGTGCTTGCCACTTGTATTAACGCTTGGGATCTACAGCATGAAGCAGTCCTGAGCTGACCATGCTTCTCTTTGCTTTTACTGGTATTGAGTCTTTTTAATGGGTTGTAGTTCAATTTTAGTCCAGTTAAAAGGCGAAAACAAAGTTAAGGCAGTAGGGTACAAATTTTTTCTTTTCTGCCCTCGCTGTAAGGCTTAAGGTGATTTCTTACCAGGTTTGATAACCTGGGTTCCACCTGCTGAGGATAGGAAATCCGGCATTTAGAGAACAGAGGTGAAAAGTTGACTGGAAGAGAATAGAAACAATGGAAGACATCTAGGAGGTTCAGGCAAATAAAAGTAATGTATAGAACATTAAATAGGAGTGACTGAAATGCTTTAAAATAATTTTGCCTAGATGTTGCAGCAGTATGTACAATGCTGATCTCACGTGACTGGAAAGGTTGATAGATGCATTTGCCAAGGAAGAAGAACACTTACCTACCACAGGGAAGTTGGAATTGCATCCCCTAAGTGCCTGGAAATAGTACTTTAATTTTTGTTCTCCTGAGTGGGGGGAAACAATGGATAGAATCAATTGTATTTGTTGTTGACTTGACTTTCTGGGAGTCTTTTGGGCTGTGCAGGGATGACCTGGGTGCTCAGCAATGTTGACTGACTGTTCCACACAGAGTCTGATTTCTCACAGCTTACTGTTCCATGCAGCAGGATGCTGAATGTATGCAGTGCGCTCTTCATGAAACTACAGATGGGGTCTAGAGGGTAGACCAAAAAAAGCCAAGCTCACTGCCACTTTCTGACTATTTGTTTGCTTTGGGTAATTAATTCATTGCTAATTCTTGTGGCAGAAGCCTTGAAGTGTTCTGGAGCTATGGGCGGAATTCAGATAGTGCTGCATGTTTTTTCTCATTCGTGATCTTACAAGTTACAACTGAATCAATCTTATCAGTGATTCAGTATGCTAGGTCAAAATAAGGTTTTTGTTGATGATTTGGTCTACTGAAAGGGTCAAAAAAGGGTTTCCCTTTGTAAGGGAAAATGCAGAAGTCAAAAAGAATTGCACTATTCTGTGCATGAAGAATATGTCTTAATGTGCCAGAGCGCTGCTGCCCGTTACCTTTTTCCCTTAGAACATCCTCATAAAGTTTCTAGATTGTTCACAGATGTCACCGAGTTTAATGCTAACTTTATTATCTTTGGAAGCTTACATTACAGGTATTACAGCACATATGCAAATTTGTGTGTTCAGTTGCACTCCTTGTGGTTTGCATCTGTATAGGTATTAATGCCTGCCTGGAAATGACGGGGTTGGTTTTTTTCAAACCTGAAGATCTGGTTTTATGTGCAGTGCTCAGTGCTAAGAGATCACTGGATGGTCCTGTAAGCTTCTCTTTCAA